AATACTTTATCTTATGCAAGTGTGAGCATTGCTATAAATGTATGTGATTCCAAGAAATTAACTTAGTTTGAATTTTGTGAAATGAGACAATACATAAACTTATCATTTTCCACTTGTTTAGTTTTGTTAAATTTTAAATAAATAATTAAATAACCTAAAATGGAAATGTAAAATGGAAATCTATTTCATGATCTTATCTACATGGTCCTTTTGTTCTTTACAAATCAGAGTTTGTATTGTGTCTGTTTATTGTTTTACTTAATCTAGAAATGTCAATCCATGAGAATACTTTTTCTTGATTGCATACACTTATACCTTTTCTTTTCTCAATGGAATTTCTTTATATTGGTGTGAATGCCCAATTTTGTCAAATTTTAATTTGCTGAGTTTTCTATGATTACTTGTTTTGAAACCAACTTAAATTTATTGAGAATTAGAATTTTTACATTTATGGAGAAATTAATTTTGACTATTCTATTTTGTGCATATGCATATATTTTCGAAAATTTCATTACTCCCATATAATGTGCTATATTGAAATCTTAAATGTGGTACAATTTATTTTGGACGTTAGGCTTTGAGATCCATTGTTGTCATTAACTTTAATTAGAAGCTTTGCAACGGCCATTTCATTTATATAATTGTTTTGTACTTTGGTATTGCTTTAAATCATTATTTTAGTGGCTTCATTTCAATTGCTCTTTCAAATATGGGAATTTCTTAATGTGGTGATTATTTTGATTTGTTGAAAGTTGATTACAATTTTTTTTTTACTAAAGCAATCAAAGTATTCTTTTTTTTTTTTCTCCCAAACCGTGTAATATTCCAAGTAAATTCTTCATTCAACAAAATCTAATTGTTTCTGGTGAAGGTGTGAAGGAATTAATGGATATTAATGGTGCTTCTCCATTACTTTTGTAAACGTATAATTATACAATATTTCAGTGAGTATGAATTAGCATGCCTTCTTTATTTTGTCAAATTGAAAAGGTGTGCATGCATAATTAAATTTTTCCTAAATTCTTTTCTTTCTCAATTGTTATATTAATTCTTTAGTATTCAATTGCGTCAGTTTTGGTATTAATTGTTTGAATATAAAATCTAATATTGCATCAGTTAGTATTCAATTATTATATTGATTCTTTATTTCATTTATAGCTATTAATTTTTGTGAAAACGATCAGATAGTTTATGTGATTTTTTTTTTTTTTAAATTTTTGAGAGAACCTCGACGGAACGAGGGAGACTTTATTGATAAAACAAAAAATTACAACGGGGGGGACAAGACGCCTGACCCCAACTCAACAAATCACATAATAGGGCGTCCTGAATAAGATCAGGGGGCACCTCAAACCAAAAATAGTTGTCCACATTATGCAGACCAAAACGAGCAAGTCGGTGTGCAACACCATTTGCTTCCTTGTAAGTAAATTGAAAAAGAGAGCCAGGAAATTGTTTCTGAAGATGCTTTACATCTTCAACAATGGTACCAATGTTTGAATAATCATGTCCTGCTCGGTTTACAGCTGCAACCACCACACCAGAGTCTCCTTCAAAGATGGGAGATGCAGTCCCAAGTGAGAGAGTAAGGACCACCCCTTCACGAGCCGCAAGAATTTCTGCATGTTTAGCCGACAGCACTTCCCCAACTGATTTCGCCATTGCAGCCACAAAACCTCCCTCCGCGTCTCTGGCAACAGCCCCAACAGCCCCTCTACCCGAAGTAGGATCAAATGCTCCATCAAAGTTAATTTTGAGGCGGCCTGACGGTGGTGCTGCCCATCTAACAGCATCCCGCAC